GGTGTATCTGATATTCAGGGAATTTCCTTCAAGCAAAATGATGAAGCAATGAGGCCATACTATTAAAATCTAATTTAAGATGACCTGAGAATATGTTCTGTTTTCACATACGGAAACCTGTTGAGCTCTTTCCTGAAGTTTAATCCATTCCAGAGACTGAGGCAAGGTCTGCTCTGGAAAAGGGGAGTGTTCTGGTTTTAAAGACATTTACTGCCTAAGAGTAAACAGAGGGATTTGAGACACCAACAAGGTAGGATAGACTGAGCCCACTTTCACTGTAGTTAAATAGATTCTATGTATTTGAAAACAAGATTAGCCACAGATAAACCAAAATTAAATAGTCTAGAGTTGACTATACACTTGCTCACAGTTATTTATATATTGCTTTATATCAGTAATTCTGTTCCTACAATTAAACTCTAAGTACATAAAAGGCAAAGATTCATTTCTAACCTTTTAAGGTCAATTAGGGTACACTGCACCTGTTACACTCATAAGTGTCTTGGATCACAAAGAACTCTTTGGGGGGAAAAAAAAGAAGAATGACTTTAACCTCAACTTAAGACAGTTAGAAATTAAAATCCTAAAAGCTTAAAAATCCTTCACTGGATGATTTAAAAAGAAGATTCTTTTGGCTAACCAAAACTTTCCCATATAATGAAGTAAAACTAGTAAAATCAGAGAATGAAATTAACAGTGCTGATGACCCAATACCTTTCCATCAATGGGAACACCCAGTTCCTCTGAAAACAGGGGGTGAGTTATCCATTTGTAGGCTTCTTTTAGCTGAACTATATCATTTCTTCCCAGCGACAGACTCTGCTTTCTGAATAACATAAACATTAATTCACTGACATGAAAAACTTCACTTTTTCTATTAAAGGCAAGAATTTATGCAATTATTAAAAAATACTGACTGAATGCCTACTATGTGCCAGGGAACTATTCTAAGCATTAGATAGAAAGCAGAGAACAAAACAGACAAAAAAAATCCTCACCTCATGGACCTTATATTCTAGTGGAATCATAGAACTACTTTTTCTAATGGCATATGAGACAATTTTTAAATCTTCAAAGACAAAGCACACTAATGGGTTCTTCTGAGCTAGAATTGCCAGATTCCAGGATTTATATATCAGAAGACAGAAAGATGGAATAGAGATGATTGTTTATTGCTCACAAACTACAAAACTGTATATTATCATAATACAATCCATATTTAAAATGCTTGCATCTCCCCTCTTGCTGAAAATGGGATTTATTTTGGGGAAATCAATGTAAAGGTTGTAATTTTTCTTTTACTGCTAAATAAGAAATATTAAGTTCTGAAGTATCAATGTTCTGAAATGTTCATTGATGTACTATCAGATAAATTTCTGAATAAAAATCTGACATCACCCAAAATCTACTCATGAGCCAATAATCGGAAGTTCCCATTATGAGTTCTAGCTTTAGTTTGTAATCTAAAATTGTGACAGAAAGGAACCTGAGGTAAGAGGAATGAAAAACATGGTAAGGTATTATTAAAACTGCTCTACTCCACTAAGAATACTGGGATATTACTAACAAGCCCACATCATTCAAATAAGTAAAACTTCAAACCAGCCTTATGGCTATTTGCGGGGCTGCTTTTAACAAAAGAAATGTTAGGGCCAACTTGTGAATAATCCCCTTTAATGTCTTATTTTCACTGATAAAAATTACTACTTATAGGCAATTATCCATTGTAATTTAATTCTGCAAGACTGAAAGACACTACTAACTACAGGTAGAAAACAAACATAATTTAGCTAATGGCTAAATTTAATTGATCAGACAGAAAAAAGAATAAAGATCATTGTGCCTCTAAAAATGCAAATTAAGAAATAGTTGATCTACCCATTCTGTATCCAGCTGAGAATATAATGGTTACAGAGAGTGTTTTCATAGATTTTGGGATTGTGCTTTAACAATGAAATACCCAGATAAGCTCTCCATCTGACAAATAACCAAATTACTTCTCTACATTTAAGAACTTCTTCAAACACTAAATGTTTGAGCTTCATAAAATGCTCCTAATTCTCCAAATATCAGAAACATTTTAGTATTTTAAAAGATTATCTTGATACTGTATCAACAGTTTAATTAATCAATGATATTTGCACAAAAATGCATCACAGTTGAAAGTAAATAATGTATGAGAATACATTTTAAAGGATAA